TTACGAAAACAGTCAATAGTAGCATGATATATAGACAAGCAATCCATTCCTAAAATTACATCAAAATCCTGGAAGTCAAGAGGTAGCAGATCCGCAAGTAATTCTCTATTACCCACCTAAACTAGGCACTCCCTATATACTACCTTGGTCGTCACACAATCACCTGTGGGAGTAGCTAAAGGCAATCCATAGTCTAATGGAGTAGGTGATCTATTAACATGAATGGAGAATGACAGTGATATAAATGAATGTGTGGCACTTGAATCTATAAGTACTCGTGCTTGCTAACCAAAAATAGACATCATACCTGTGACCACATCAGGGGTCGCCCGAGCATCCTTCTGGGTAAGTACAAAAATACGACCTCCAGCCTCAGGTCCACTCAGTTCACTGCCACCAACACCGCTACCTCCAGTACTGCCTCCTCGTCTTCACTCTCTACCACTCGCTGTTCCTCGAGACACCGTAGGTGCACTGCCTATCGATGAACTTTGGGGTAAAATATTGTGAATAATCTCTCTACATGTGTCCCTTTTGACCACATAAAAAGCAACACCGTGACATAGCAGATCCTGGTCCTCCCATAGGACAGTTGCGTATAATGTGCCCAATCTGCCTACAACGGTAACAAGTAACTGTACTCCCCTGAGACTGTCCCATCTCTCGACCCGGTGTAAATAAAGATGGTCCACTCATTCCCTGTCCTCGACTTTGGAATGAGACTCCTGATTTTTTCTTACTGGAACCCTTAAGAAAAATTCCTTTCTAGGCTTTGCTAAAGAAACTTCCCTTGGAACCTTGTTCACTTGGCTCATATCTTTCCCTTTTTGCTTGTTCACTTGCATTTTCCATCTCTTTCAGATCAGTTTCCATAATTAGGGCTTTGTTGTACAAGTTTGAAAATGTTGTTAATTCCAGCATTGAAACACGGGATCTAATATTGTAATTTAGCCCCATCTGGAGTCTTCTGCATCTTTTCCCCTCATTTGCAACAACAAAAGTCATAAATCTAGACAAAGTACTAAATTTACTCTCGTACTCCAGCATTGACTAATTCTCATGCTGTAGATGTAAAAATTCATTTTGTTTCTGATATCGATAACTCGAGGGAAAATACTTCTTGTCAAAGGCATCTATAAACTGTCGTCATGTGGGAATTCTGGGAATTGAACTAGCCTCCCCTTCAGTGCACACTGGGAACAATGCTCTCTCCATAGCCTCCCACCAATACTGGGCCTCCTCTACTAACATAAAAGTGACCAACAATAATTTATCCTCCTCGCCAAGTCCCATTACCCTTAATATCTTTTTGATGCATCGTAAACCAATTTTCTACCTCTAATGGACCTGCAATTCCCATAAATATTTGGTGGATCAAGTTTTTTAAATTGTTTGTACAACATCCCCTTGGGCTTTACTATTTCTATTCGCGTTGTATGTTGCTCAAAGTACTTAACTGTTGCTTCCCGTAGTTGCCTAGCTTCCTGATCACCTGGTTCCTCCTCCACCTTGGGTCATTTTTCCCTATCTCCAACCCTAGCAGATGACCCTTCTCTCTCCATGTATCAATGTAACAAATGTGAGTATTGCATATGGGTCATGAAAGCATGCAATATATATTCCACACACTCACATGGACCTCTAACACCCCACCTAAACAGACCAATTCCTAAGTCCACTGTCACGCTAGACTCAACTTGACTACTGAATTATAAACTCTAGCTCTAATACCAACTAAAATGTCACGCCCCATCTTGGTCTCTCAAGGATGAGATGCGACTAGGTTTTTAATACACCTATTTACAATTATTATAAGATGGACTAATAAAATATGATATAATCCCACAGGTGTAACACCACCACTCATCACCTTAGATATTAAGCATGATGGTAAACTTTGTCTCATAACTTGTACCATATATAAAACACCTTTATCAATCATTTCTTTTCCAGTTTATAAATATCTACAAAAACCCACACCCACATAGCATACATCACAAAGTATCCTTGTTGAGTCTATTTACAAATATATACTATTAATCTGCCATAAATATCTCTCATAAATATATTACACAACCCATAAATTATTCATACTGACACTCAACCTGAGTGATATTACACTAACGTTGCATAAGACTCAATCAACTGGATAGTGGANTAAATTGTTTGTACAACATCCCCTTGGGCTTTACTATTTCTATTCGCGTTGTATGTTGCTCAAAGTACTTAACTGTTGCTTCCCATAGTTGCCTAGCTTCCTGATCACCTGGTTCCTCCTCCACCTTGGGTCATTTTTCCCTATCTCCAGCCCTAGCAGATGACCCTTCTCTCTCCATGTATCACTGTAACAAATGTGAGTATTGCATATGGGTCATGAAAGCATGCAATATATATTCCACACACTCACATGGACCTCTAACACCCCACCTAAACAGACCAATTCCTAAGTCCACTGTCACGCTAGACTCAACTTGACTACTGAATTATAAACTCTAGCTCTAATACCAACTAAAATGTCACGCCCCATCTTGGTCTCTCAAGGATGAGATGCGACTAGGTTTTTAATACACCTATTTACAATTATTATAAGATGGACTAATAAAATATGATATAATCCCACAGGTGTAACACCACCACTCATCACCTTAGATATTAAGCATGATGGTAAACTTTGTCTCATAACTTGTACCATATATAAAACACCTTTATCAATCATTTCTTTTCCAGTTTATAAATATCTACAAAAACCCACACCCACATAGCATACATCACAAAGTATCCTTGTTGAGTCTATTTACAAATATATACTATTAATCTGCCATAAATATCTCTCATAAATATATTACACAACCCATAAATTATTCATACTGACACTCAACCTGAGTGATATTACACTAACGTTGCATAAGACTCAATCAACTGGATAGTGGACTAGTCTGTATCCTCCTTTATAGTACCTGAATAGAAGAAGCTGTAGGGGTGTGAGCTAAACCATGCCCTCAGTGAGTATACATGTTGTATATGAAATAAAAAAGATAGTAATACATTGAAGTAGGTAGATACTACATAGATACATGTATCAAACAACATCATCAATCCAATTTTAGGGAATTCACAAGTCACATCACATTCATACTACCCCTCATCAGGTAATCGATCCCACATGAATTCGTGTCTCCTGAACCTCCTGGAAACACCACAGTGCTAGCACATCACTGTACGCCTAGTGCTTAGGCATCGAAGCCCCTGTTTCAAATAATGCGCCACATTTTACAATACACAGTACAAAGCATCATCTAATCACATAAGCACATAGCACATAATCTTAGAGAATTGCTATTAAATTCTATCATTTACTATCATCTTATAATAGCATTTCCAAAAAAGATAAAGATATACACCCACCTCAGATGTACAAATTTATGGCCCTTCAATCTTATTGGTGGATCATTTCGGTGTCACCATATTTGTTCCAATATCGAATGTCTCACTCGTTCCACCTAATACATTTGTAATTATAATATCAATATATTTATTACATTTAATAGTTAATCCTGCATTATTGCATGCAAATGATACACCTCAAAGTGCCCCGGTAACTGCACTATCTACTCACATTTTAGCACTTTTGTTCTAGGGATCATATTTCCTCCCCAAATTCCCAAAATCACTCACATTAATCACAATTAGGATTAAGTAGGTCCAACACATTGACCGGGGGCCCATTTTCACACATTTCGACCCCGAATCCTAAAAACTACACTTCCAACATTTCATACATTTCACACTGAATATTGTACTCATTTGCATTCGAAAGTCATATTATCACATCAAGCATCATTTAGAAACGCTGTATGCAAAATTTTAGATCATTTGGATTAAAATTCACACATGTGATAATGACATTTAGAAATCAGAGTTTCGGCGTTACCGACACGTTTCCCACTTCTATCGTACTTTGTATTTAAAACCATCACACTTAAATTAACATAAAAATTTAATCAATGAAAAATAGCCCCTAATTGAGCTTTTAAATCACCCATTTTATTTTCATAATTTTCATTTTCAACCTAGCCCACTAAATGTTTCCCGAATATCTCGGATGGTCATATCCACACTTTTTGTAAACTCCGTTAAGTACCCATTTAATACCTATTTTTAACAACTCGTTAATTATTCTAAATATATTTAGTTACACCCATACAAAATCTGATTTGACATTAACTAAATCAGCCCATAAAATTTGAATTAAAACAACCCATTAAAATAAAATAAGACAGCTCATATATTTAAATTAAAACAACCTACTAATTAAAACATGCTAAAATAGCCCACACATACACAAATACGTGCATACTAAAATTAATCACAACTCAAAACTTAAATCCATATACCTTCTTTTTTCCTCTCTTGGTTTGGACTAAGAATACCCACCAAAGACTTGATTTCACTCTCCTTCTCTCCCTCCTTGCTCATGGTATCAAGAACACACACATTGTTTTTTTCTTTCTCTTACTCTAGCTCACCCTCAAGGTTTCAGTACACATACACACAAACTTTATTTTATCTTAAACACACACACACCCCTCTTTAATTTACTTAACACACACACACACACACTTTACACCTTTAAACACACACACACACACATACACACGGCTCACACTCATACGCACATGACACACCTTTTTTTTTTCTTTTTTTTTAAGCCTGCACATGTAAAGGTAATGGGTTAATTACCTTTGCCTCCCCCANATCAAGAACACACACATTGTTTTTTTCTTTCTCTTACTCTTGCTCACCCTCAAGGTTTCAGTACACATACACACGAACTTTATTTTATCTTAAACACACACACACCCCTCTTTAATTTACTTAACACACACACACACACTTTACACCTTTAAACACACACACACACATACACACGGCTCACACTCATACGCACATGACACACCTTTTTTTTTCTTTTTTTTTTTAAGCCTGCACATGTAAAGGTAATGGGTTAATTACCTTTGCCTCCCCCAAGTTTTTAAATGATTTCAAAATTGGCCCACTAATATTTTCACAAAATTATAATTTAGCCCACAAAATTATGTTAATATGTGTGCAATGCATGATTGGATCTCACACCTATCATGATAGTAGAGGACTTGGAAGAAGAAATCCCCACATGTGTGAAGGATGAAGATTGTTTTGAGGATATTCAAGATGTGTATGATCAATTGTTTGTAGAATTCCTCAAACAACAAAAGAATGTTCTTGCATTGAATGAGAAAGTGAATTCAAGTGAAGAAGATAGAAAAGCACTTCATGTGGACTTGGTTAAGTCCAAAGCTCTTCTTGATCAAGTGAGCTTCCTTAAGAGAGAGTGTCATGAGATTGTTNATGAGAAAGTGAATTCAAGTGAAGAAGATAGAAAAGCACTTCATGTGGACTTGGTTAAATCCAAAGCTCTTCTTGATCAAGTGAGCTTCCTTAAGAGAGAGTGTCATGAGATTGTTAAGTCCAAGAAGAATCTTGAGTCAAATTGTGCCAAACTCGATAAAGATCTTCATGAATCAAATGAACTCTCAAAAAGAATCCCTCAAAGCAATGAAAAGTTTCATAGGATGTTATCCATGGGAAAAAAGTGTGGGTGATAAGCGCAATTTAGGCTATACAAGTGAATACACCAACATTTCTTCCAAAACAATGCTTGTGAAGGGTAANACACGTTTCCCACTTCTATCGTACTTTGTATTTAAAACCATCACACTTAAATTAACATAAAAATTTAATCAATGCAAAATAGCCCTTAATTGAGCTTTTAAATCACCCATTTTATTTTCATAATTTTCATTTTCAACCTAGCCCACTAAATGTTTCCCGAATATCTCGGATGGTCATATCCACACTTTTTGTAAACTCCGTTGAGTACCCATTTAATACCTATTTTTAACAACTCGTTAATTATTCTAAATATATTTAGTTACACCCATACAAAATCTGATTTGACATTAACTAAATCAGCCCATAAAATTTGAATTAAAACAACCCATTAAAATAAAATAAGACAGCTCATATATTTAAATTAAAACAACCTACTAATTAAAACATGCTAAAATAGCCCACACATACACAAATACGTGCATACTAAAATTAATCACAACTCAAAACTTAAATCCATATACCTTCTTTTTTCCTCTCTTGGTTTGGACTAAGAATACCCACCAAAGACTTGATTTCACTCTCCTGCTCTCCCTCCTTGCTCATGGTATCAAGAACACACACATTGTTTTTTTCTTTCTCTTACTCTAGCTCACCCTCAAGGTTTCAGTACACATACACACAAACTTTATTTTATCTTAAACACACACACACCCCTCTTTAATTTACTTAACACACACACACACACACTTTACACCTTTAAACACACACACACACACATACACACGGCTCACACTCATACGCACATGACACACCTTTTTTTTTTCTTTTTTTTTAAGCCTGCACATGTAAAGGTAATGGGTTAATTACCTTTGCCTCCCCCAAGTTTTTAAATGATTTCAAAATTGGCCCACTAATATTTTCACAAAATTATAATTTAGCCCACAAAATTATGTTAATATGTGTGCAATGCATGATTGGATCTCACACCTATCATGATAGTAGAGGACTTGGAAGAAGAAATCCCCACATGTGTGAAGGATGAAGATTGTTTTGAGGATATTCAAGATGTGTATGATCAATTGTTTGTAGAATTCCTCAAACAACAAAAGAATGTTCTTGCATTGAGTGAGAAAGTGAATTCAAGTGAAGAAGATAGAAAAGCACTTCATGTGGACTTGGTTAAGTCCAAAGCTCTTCTTGATCAAGTGAGCTTCCTTAAGAGAGAGTGTCATGAGATTGTTAAGTCCAAGAAGAATCTTGAGTCAAATTGTGCCAAACTCGATAAAGATCTTCATGAATCAAATGAACTCTCAAAAAGAATCCCTCAAAGCAATGAAAAGTTTCATAGGATGTTATCCATGGGAAAAAAGTGTGGGTGATAAGCGCAATTTAGGCTATACAAGTGAATACACCAACATTTCTTCCAAAACAGTGCTTGTGAAGGGTAACACAAACCCATCAGAATTGGTAAGGGTAGGAACTCAAAGAAGAATGTGATTTTTGAAACCCAAACCATTCATAATTTGTGTTATAATTGTGGAAAACATGGTTATCATAGTCGATATTGCATGAAAAATAGGATGCTTAAATAAGAATCTAATGCATCTTGCTAAACGATCCAAAGACTTAAATCTTGAAGTCTTAAATTTCTCTAAGATTTTAGATAGGACAAGTGAGTCCAAGCATAATCATGCATCTTCTTCACATGGACCGCATGGTTGAGTGCCCAAAGCTCCTTTTACCCCCAAGATCAAAATTGATCTACATACTTTTTTGGGAGGAGAGAGTTAGTCCTCCATCCATTCCCCAACCTAACCCAAGCTTTAGAAAGGAAAAACAAGTATGGGTGACTAGGGAGGATTTTCAGAAACTCATCATCTCAATCAAATTAGAGCCCCCGAGTGCTTCTAGCAAGGTCACGACTCCTAAGAAGTAGGAGAGGTGAGTGTATGGACCTAGGTGATCTTTAATGCATTTCATTGAGCATTCTAGGGTCATACTTCGTACATATTTTTATTTATTTTCTATATGAAAATACAAAAAAAAGTAGAAAAATGAAACCAAAAACAAAAGAAATAGAAAAGGTCCAAAAAGAATTTTGATGTCAATTTTGACATTTACTTGTAGGATTTACGTTTGCTTTATTTGTTTTTCCTTGTTTAATGCATCTTCATGCATATTTTTTTGTATATGTTTATTTTGAAAATTCAAAATAATAGAAAAGAAAAGGCCAAAAAATATTTTCTTTTGTTAGTTTTTCTTTGTTTATGATCATGGTAGTTCACAATTTGGTTTGCATTGTAATGAATTCATCCTTAAATCAAAGTCAAAATATGCATTACGATGAGTCATATTAGAGGATAGAGATCTTAGTGGCATAAATTTTGTTGCATAATTCTTTAGCCAAAGTCTCTTTCACCCTAGCAAGCTTGGATGTGTTTGTCTTTGAAAAATTCATAACCAAGTACACGCATGTCATTCATCTTCACACTTAGGAGTTTGATTAGTTTAAATTATTAATGATCTTAACAAACTCTAAGTTTTAGTAATAGGTGAACACAATGTGGCCAAATCTAAAAAATTGAGACATAAATAAATGGCTAAAAACAATTGCACTTGAATTGTGAGAGTAGTTATGCTTGAATGAAAATTGCTCATTTGTAAAGTTCACTGAGCTCATGCTAATCTTGATTAGAAGCATATATTAAAAGTAAAGAATTCACAATCATTTTAATTGAAGTCATAGAGTAGAAGGGATAAAAGAAAAGGGGAGTTGTCAAAAATAAGATTATTAGGACACTCACTAACCGGCCATGTATTCACTTAGACAATGCATTATGATTTCATTTTGAGCTTACTATTGATTTGAACTAAGTAGAATCCTTTTTGTGTTGGAGGTTGGTTTCACACACGATGCACTTGAATTAGTCTAAGTTGAATAAAATTTGAACACTTGTGAGTGAAATTAAACCAAGTGAGGAAACATTGCCCTAGGATGCATGAAATTGAGTTTCATATCCTTCAACATGTTGTAGAGTAATGTATTGAGATGATAAACTTTTTGATGCATCAATGAAAATGTGAACTTATGTAATTTTCATAATTATGAATTTGAGCATTTAATGTTTTAGAATTGAAAAGTGCATTATTTTGGTCAAACTTCATTCATACATGTGCATTGATTTGCATTTAACCTATATACATCATGCATGCAAGTAAGGACTCATTGGAGAAGGGTTGAAGTGGATTGGACTATAGAAAGTAGAAGGGCTCTATTTCAGAAATCGCTTGAATGGCCCATGACCTCGCTTGAGTAGTTTGTATCGGGGGTCGCTCCAGCGAGCTTTTAAAGTCAGATTTTAGCGGGCATTTCTCATTTCTTCCACTTCCAAGCTTAAACACACTTACTTTCTAGCCTACCCATTGCATTTCTAAGTACTAAAACTTCATATTGAGTGAGATTAAGTGTAAGTTTAGTTTATATCCTAGTTTATCATATTCATTTATACATTTTCATCGATTATTTTGCGAAAATGCATTCAAGTGCTGAGAATAGAGCTAGGGTCCAAGGAGCTAGAATTAGTGGTTAATTCTAGACTCCACAATATTGAGATCTATATAGGAGACAATTCTCATCCAGACTTGTGCTAGTCGAGTAAGCCATACCACTATCCCTTCGAGCTTCAAGTCCAAAGGGTGGTGTGACCNGTTAGTGGTTAATTCTAGACTCCACAATATTGAGATCTATATAGGAGACAATTCTCATCCAGACTTGTGCTGGTCGAGTAAGCCATACCACTATCCCTTCGAGCTTCAAGTCCAAAGGGTGGTGTGACCTATTTGCAGCACCTATCCTTGCAAATATAGATATGGTTAGGGAGTTTTATGCACATGATTAACCCTAAATATTGCGTAAATGAATTAGGGTTTAAGATTAATTATGTGCATAAATTAGGTTAAAGTGATTATTTTATAAAGTATTTGGGTTAATATGTAATTTGTATATTTTGTAGGGTTTCAAGCATAAATACGAAATTTTGAGAGGATTAAAGTGCAGAGGCTGAATTGACCAAGGGAGGCAAGTGTAATTAAGAAGCAAAGAGTCAAACAAGGGTGGCTGCGAAGCATGAAATCCAAAGAATCCCCACCGTCCGGATGGTGCTTAAACTACCTCACTTCTCTCTCTTCTCCCATTGGTCCATTTTGGCAACAAAAACCTCCTATTGGTCAGCTTGGGTGTTTATCGCCTTACCTCCTTTTCGGTGCCTATAAATGGCATGCTTCAACTATTTTCCAAGGGATTCACTAGAGTTCAATTTAGTTCAAGGGAGGAGAGAACAAAAGGAAAGAAAAAGAGACAGGGAGACTTCAAGAAGAGTTTTAGTCAAAAAAGGAGTGAAGCCCTGCCCTAATCATTTCTCAGCCAGAATTTTCTCTACTTCTACATTTTTGTTTATCCTTTTTACTTGGAGGGTTGAACCTCTCTCAGCCAGCAATAAGAGTGGCAGTGTTTCTACTTTTCCTCAAGAAAGGACTTTGTTGTATTTTGTTTTCGATTGTAATGGGGTCGTTTCACTCCTTTTGCTCGTCTAAAGCAATGAGGCAGGAGTAGTCTATTTACATTATTTGGTAAAGGGTGAATGCACATGTAATACTATTTAAGTTATGAAAATGCTGATGTTTTATTTATGCATTAATGTTTATACCTCCCTTAATTGATATATGGTTATTATTATAATATGATCATGGTTAGCCTAATGCTATATACTATTCTATCTATAATACGTACGTGCGTACTTCATGCATGATACAGTGATGCAAGTAGTTAGGTTTTATGTAACAGTCAGAAGATTGTTTATAGATGGGTTAAATCTCACCATAACCAATACTTTTGATTCAATGCATAAACCGGAATTCTGTTGTCATTGAATCATCAACCTATCGATTGAATAGCTAGAGTAAACCTTTTGAATGGTTTACCTTCAAGTTTACTAGGATTATTTGGTTACTGCATGATACATAGACCTTCTAGCTAACCTAACCAATTGTTGTGATATGGTTCAGTTATACATCACACCTACCGATTAACTTTCCAGTAAAATAGAAGTTAATTGTTGTAAGGTGGCATTTTCATGAATAAACAATATAATGCATGTTGGATCCCTGAATTGAAGAGTACCTTTTATCATTGTTATTCAAAGTTTTAGTTAAGTTTTTATTTGATAATTCTAAGCTCAAACCACAAGTTATTCCATTGCACACTACACACACGACAATTTCACTATTTTCTATTTTGAGTACCAAAAGTTAGCTCTCTGTGGGTTCAACCTTGGACTTAACAGAGAAATATTAAAATTTGACCATTTATGCTTGGGTGTATGATTTAATTCAGGTTAGATCAAGCTTTTTGTAGCCGTTACCAGGGAGTCACAGTGATAAAAATGAACAGAGAAGTTGTCTAGTTTGTATTATATGTATATTGTTTGTTTTATTTTGATTATTTATATATGTTAAGTCATCTGTAGGGTCTGTAAATCAATCTAGCCCTCCATCTTTGTCGTCACAAGTATCTTCGGACTCTTTTGAGTTAAGCATGGCTAATAATAATCAAAGGGAACAAGAGGTAGTTCAGAATGTTAGACTTTTTAGAGAATATTTGCATCCCACAAGACTAGCTGCCCTTCACGTTTTGCTTTTCCCACAAATACTCCAAATTTTAACATCAAAGTAGGGAAAATATAGCTTTTATCGCAATTTCATGGTCTTGAGTCTTAAAACCCCTATTTGCATATGAAGGATTTTGAGGAAGTATGTAGTGCATTGCAAGATAATTTTAAAATGGCACGGTTGAAACTTTTTTCTTTCTCTTTAAAGGATATGGATAAACAGTGGCTAAATTCTTTAAAACCTCAATCCATTCCAAATTGGCAAGTTTTACAAACCAAATTTTTTTAAAAAAAATTTCCTATGCACCGCACAAATGCATTGAGACATCAAATCATAAATTTTTCTGTGAAAAAAAGAGAATTTTTTTATGAATGTTGGGAGAGATTCAAAGATCTTCTCCAAGCTTGCCCACATAATGCATTTGAGAGTTAGACTTTAGTTGGTTTCTTTTATGATGCCTTCCCATCCACAATGTGTCAGCTTGTTGAAATGACAGGTCAGGAGAATTCATGGATAAGAGTCCTGATGAGGCATTCGAGTTTTTTGATACCATTTTCGAGAATTCCCAAATGTGGGACTTGGCCTCACCGAATATTGTTGAAACCAAGTCATCCTCTTCCTAAGGAGGAAATACGTGATAAAAGAAGATGATGACCTAAGAGCCAGAATGACTACTTTGTCTCGAAAGCTTGAAGCTCTAAAGATGAAAAAA